AATTCCCCCTACCCCAGTCTATGGTGTGTGTGTGTGTGTGTATGTATGTATGTATGTGTGTGTGTTACTGGGAGTTGAACCCAGGGGCACTCTACCACTGAGCCACATCCCCAGCCCTTTTTAATTTTGAGACAGGATTTCACTAAATTGCTTAGGGCCTTGCTAGGTTGTTCAGGCTGGTCTCAAACTTGTGATCTTCCTGCCTCAGAGTCCCTGGCATTAGAGTCCCTGGAATTACAGGCATGCACTACTGTGCCTGGCTTATGGTTTTTGTTTTGTTTTGTTTCTTTTTCAATCTCTTGATAAGAGAGATTGAAAAAAATCAATCTTTTTTGATAGAAATTGCATTTTTTGATAGGATAATGGTTCTTTAAGGCACAAGTGTTTAATTTTTATGATGTTGACTTTTTTTCTTTTCCTTGTCATTTGTACTTCTGGTGTCACATTTAAGAAACTAATTCAAGGTTACAAGGATTTACACTTTTTTTTCCTATGAATGTAATACTTTTAGCTCTTACATGTAGGTCTTAATCTATTTGTGATTCATTTTTGATAGAGTGTGAGATAAGGGTCCAACTTCATTCTTATGAATCTATCTAGTTGTCCCAGAAACATCTTAGAAAATACTATTTATCATCTCCCCATTAAACTATCCCAACAACTTTAAAACATTGACTATAAATGTGAGGTTTATTTCTGGACTATTAATTTTGTTTTATTTTTCTGTATGTCTATCCTCATGCCAGTACTTGATCCTCATGCCAGTACTTGATCCCCATGCCACTATCTTGATTACTGTAGCTTTGTGGTAATAAGTATTGGAGTTGTGTCTAAGACTATTTTTTTTTTCAAGTATAAAGAATTTTACTCAGTTGGTAGAGTGCTTGCCTCACATGTAAAGGCCCTGGGTTCAATCCCCAGCACCACAAAAAAAAAAAAAAAAAAAAAAAAGAATTTTAAAAATCCTTCTTTCAAGATTATGTTGCCTATTCTAGGTCCCTTGATTTCTCAAAAACAAAAACAAAAAGCAAACAAAAAAGAAAGCCAGCTGGGTTTTGATAGGAATTACATTGAATCTATACATAAAATTTAGCATATATTGTCATCTTAACAGTATCAAGTCTTCTGATCCATAACCAGAGGATGTCTTTTAATTTATTTAGGTCTTTTTTTTTTTTTTTTGGTCTTTTAACAACATTTTGTAGTTTTCAAAATGTAAGTTTTGCACTTATTTTCTAAAATTTTTTCTTAAATTTTTTATTCTTTGTTGTTCTCTTGATTGTTTTAATAAGCTCTGTTTTCATCAGTTTCCCAACTTATTGTCTTAATTTATCACCTTACGTCAGTCAGTATTCAACCAGAGAAAAAGAACTAGTATGTGTGTGTGTGTGTATGTATGTGTGTGTATGTATGCTGGCTCTATTTGACTGATTTATATATAATGTTGACTAATATATATATGTATATATGTAAACATATATGCAGTATCTATGTAAACACAAACACACACATTCAGAAAGTATTACCATTCTAACAATATTAAGTTTTCCAACCCATTACTGTAGCCCTATTGGGTAAAGGATAGTCTTTTTCAGATTTTACACATAGAGAGAGAGAGAGAGAGAGGAGAATATTATTGCAAAGAAAGAAACTGCTCATATGGTACAGGCAAGTCTGCAATCCTGATTCCATGAGGCCATGAAATCTCCAGCTGAGTGTGGCCTACGTCAGTAAGGGCAGCTTGGAAATCTTGGGCATGAGCAAATGCTATTATCCACATGGTAAGTCTTTCTTTGTCAGTGGAGCCTCATTTCTCCTCCTAAGGCCTTTTTTAACTGATTAAATCAGGCCTATACATATTATCTAGAATAATCTCCCTTATTTAGAATTCCTTGATTATGAACTTTAATGATGTATAAAATACCTTCATGATAACACACATGCATTTGCATAAGAGCAACTGTAGCTAGCCTAGTTGATGCTAAAATTGACCACTACCAGCCTCTTCTTATCTGTACCATTTGTAGTTACTAAATTCCTTCCTATTTCTAAGATCACTTATTTTTTCTTGACTAATCTTGCCATAGATTTTTCTTATTAGTCTTTCAAAAAAACCTGAATGGGGGCCAGTGGTACTATAAATTTATTAATAGGACTATCACATGTATTATCATATACACTATTGCCAGTGTTTGAGATAAGTGTTTATAGTCTGTGAGGAGAGGAGCCTACTTTTGATTTACCCTTAAACTCAAGAGAAAGGTTAAAGGTACAGATCAGTAGTAGAGAACCTGCCTGGCATGTGTAAAGCTCTGGGCTTAATCCCTAGCACTGCCAACAAAACAATAACCTCAGCAAGCCAGTTGTCCTTTAGGATCCTGACTTTATGAAGGGGAGAATTTTCTCTTATATACCTCACTATGGGTGAGCCAGGGGCTGTCTCCTGCTGACTGTTCTCCATGAGGCCATGAAATCTCCAGCTGAGTGTGGCAGTTTGTGTTTTCTAAAGATGGGCACAACGACACATTCAATTCCACATGCTCTTCTTACATGTCAACATTCCTTCTTAGGAATGAACTAAGTTCCTTTCCCTTGAACATGAGCTAACCTTAAATGATTTGCTTCTAAGGAACACAATGAGGCAGAAGTGATCCTGCTGACCTCTAGAGGCTAGAATGGGAAAGATGTACAACGTCTGTCTTTTGGTGTGCCTGTCTGTCATCCAAGTCACTACTTTGTGAGAAAGTCCAAATCAGGCCATGTAGAGACTACATGCAGAGGTCAAGATGGAAAGGATCCAACATCATTTGCCAGACACAGCTAAGGGAGAGTGACTTCATTAATCCCAGGCCCTGCTTTTTCATTCCTGATAGTCAGAATTCTCCCTTGAATGTGCATCTACCTTCCTAAGTAAACCTCTGCCTATACCTTTGACTCTTGCTAAAATTCTTTTCTGTCAAGTATGCCAAGAATCCTGCTGGTCTTGAGTTGAGGTCCCCCTCTTCTCTGGGAACTTCTCGAATCCTTCTCTGGGGACATCTCTTCTCCCATGACATCTCTTGGTGACCCTGATGGGACTTTAGAGGCATTGATTTTGCTAAGGGTTCTCCAATATTTTGTCTATGACTTGTTTGGTTAGTTCCTGTACCTATAACTTCTCTCTCTGCTTTCTCCCCTTTCAAAGACCAGAGAGCATAATCTCGATTGGCTCTTTTGCCATGGCTCCTATTTTGGATGGCTGGGAAATCCCTAAGCTGGGTAGACTCAAGTGGCAATAAGGTGAGCCGTTCTAGGGATCTGGTAAGACTCTCTAAACAGTATTCTATAATTCAAATAAAGTTACTGAAAGGCTCTAAACCGGTCTTGTAGCGCTCTTGACTATAAACTCAATTATGATTTTAGTGAAAATCTCTACCCTTATATTTGAGCAATTGCCCAATAATGCTCTGCAAACTAACACAATGCCCTTTTGAAGAATGTAAAACTAAAATAACCTCCTTTGAGAAGCTTTTGTTTGGGGAGAATGAAATTAAGTATACAACAACTTTCTGTGCTATACAAAAAGCTCAAAATAGGGAATATTGTTAATATGATAATGGCTAATATATTAATTTATTTCCATTTCCATTTTCTACTAACTCTTAGTTCTCTGGAAAAAAAAAAGAACTGGGGGAAAAAGAGATTTACTCTTTTATAGCAAAGAAATGAAGATAATGTTTTTTGGTTTCTTCTGATTTGTAAGTTAAACCAAATCAATATAAAAACCTCTTTCAACCAAAGAAAAGAAGATTTAAAAAACTTGCAAATCCTTGGTATTACTTGGTTCCTAAGGTTCTAAAATTTAACACTCATGGATTATATCCTATACTTTGAACAGTAAACAAGTCTGTTGGCAGCGGGGTCAGGTGGGGTGAATCCAGGGATACTATATCACTGAGCAATATCCCAAGCCTTTTTAAACTTTTGTAATTTGAGGCAGGGTCTTGCTAAATTGTCCAGGTTGGCCTCATGCTTGGATTCCTCCTGCCTTGGCCTCCCAAGTGGCACAATATGCAAGTTGAGGAAATGAAGCCCATCTATAAACATGTTTTTCAAATATTAAAAAATTAACCTTTACTTCAGAACCTTGAAATTAAAAATTAGTTCATAAGTATTCAGAATCAAACTTGATTACAGAAAGATAAACTAGGCAATAGCATAGGAATAGCCAACACTTGTACAAAATATTACTGTGTCAGGAACTTTTCTCACTTAATTCTTAAAACCTGTGCCCCCAACCACTGTGCTTTATTTCTCTCTACACCAGCTACTGATCTAAAAAATCAGATATGTAGCCTTCCTAACCTTAACTCATTGTGGGATAAAAAGTATCCTTTGACTCCAGTTCACCTAAATCTATAAACTACTCTTAATTTTGAGTCACCTGATTTTATTTTGCCATTTCCCCAACCTACACTTTGCCATTATGTTGCTGCATTTAATCTCTGCTTAGAATAGTCAAAATGAAATAAATTATTCAAATTTGTTTGTTCAAAATAAGGAGTTAAACACTTTCCCTAACTCTATTCTTATTAAGCTTTCTTTTTTTCTATATATATATTTATTTTTTAGTTATAAGTGGACACAATATCTTTATTTTATTTGTATGTGGTGCTGGGGATCGAACACCAGTGCCTCACGCATGGTAGGCGAGTGCTCTACCTCTAAGCCACAGCCCCAACCCTCTTATTAAGCTTTCAAAGATTTGCTCAGCAAAGTATTGCTGATGGCTGATAATCAGAGCATACTACAGGAGCACACTGTGCACTGGGCTGCAGTACTCTCAAACAATGCCTTCCAGTCTCTACTGTATAGACAATGCAGAGCTAGTGGTACAGGGGGTTTTGGAGTGTAGAAATTATGGTGGTAAATGTGTAATATATTTTCTAGAAGCATTTCCACTTCATGGAAATACAATATTAAGACCATAGCAAGCCACATATGGAAAGTGAGAAAGTTTTATTTATCCAAAAAAGCCTACACTATACAGAAAATTGAAAACCATATATAAAGAAATTTCTAAAACAAAGTTTTATTTGTAAGATTATTTACATATTTGAGGTCCATATTTAAAAAGCATGGCCCCCCAGGTCTAATATAGACAAAAAAAAAAAAAAAAAAGAGTCTATGTTAACATACTTGGGAAGAGGTCTACTGTGGTATTTCCCAGTACATGACATAAACCAACTGAGGAAACCCCTAGAAGATAACTTCGTTGTGCAGAGGTTTTATAATCTTGGTTTTGATGATTTTTGAAGGTAAGAAATAAAATCAAACTGACTTCTATTGGGATACAATATGGCCTATAGTTAGTAATTACAATCATAATGCTTCTGCTCCATGTGGGGACAGAATAATTTGCACACATGCTGTTTCCTATATCAATATAATTACTACATTTTGTTTTTTTCTTTTTTTAATGCTGGAAATGGAGTCCAGGACTTTCCTTTTGCTAGGAAAGTGCTCTACCACTGAGCTAACACCCCACTATCTTATAAAGAAAAACAGTTGTCTTTAAACTTTTAAAATATATAATAATCCATTTCCTAAATATTAAAAAAAGTTCATATTTAAAGACGAGCAAAAAAATCCATAAGGTCACTTTCTTCCTTTACTCCTACTTAAATGCAAATGCTGACAGCTTCTGATTTGTAGAAAGATCTAAGGGTTTTTGCTTTTTAGGCAAATTCAGATTCTCCTTTGCTGCTTCCTTTTGGTTTTCTGCTTCAAGACTTTCATCAGCTGCATGTTTTCGCTTCTTTCCTTCCGTTTCATCACTTGGAGTTCCTCCCTTGGCCTTGTTAGTCCATGCCTTTGGAAAATATTGGGGGAGACGAGAAAAGACTTTTTAACAATAACAAGGAAATAGGATGGGAGTTATTACTTTTCTAGGAACACTTATATATATGTATATGTATATATACATATATATAAAAAAACAGTTGTCACTTGAATTGTTAAGTTAATCATTAAAGGTTCTAATTGTTAACAAATCTTTTATTCTCTGGGAGAAAATATTTGCAAACTGTCCACCTGACAAGGTGTGATAATTCAGAATACTTAAAAGAACTTAGAAAACTCAATAGCAAAAAACCCATTAAAAAATGGGCAATAGATTCTAAATAGACATTTCTCAAAAGAAGACATATAAATGGCAAACAGGCATATGAAAAAATGTTCGACATCACTAATCAGGAAAATCTAAATTAAAACTACAATGAGATATCACTTTACCCTAGGAAGAATGGCTATTATCAAAAAGACCAAGAATAACAAATGCTGGAGAGGCAGTGGAGATAAAGGAAAGCTTTTACACTGTTGGTGGGAATTTAAATTAGCACAGTCACTATTGAAAACAGTATGGAGGTTTAAAAATAGAATTGCCACATGATCCAGTCATCCTACTACTCAGTATATAAAGGAAATGAAATCAGTATATTGAAGAGATATCTGTACTCTCATGTTCACTAAAGCATGATTCATAATAGCTAAGAAATAAAAACAAGTGAAGTGTCTATCTGTGGATAAATAAAGAAAATGTGGTACATATACATACACAATGGAATACTACTCAACCATAAGAAAGAATAATAGCTGTCACTTGTGGCGACATGGTTGGAACTGAAGATCTTTTTTTCTCTTTGGTACTATGGATTCAACCTAGGGGGTGCTTAACCACTGAGCCACATCCCAGCCCTTTTTGTTTTTATTTTGAGACAGGGTCTCATTAAGTTGCTTACGGCCTCACTAAGTTGCTGAGGCTGGCTTTGAACTTGTGATCTACCTGCCTCAGACTCCTGATCAGCTGGGATTACAGGCATCTGACACCATGCCCAGCTGGGCACAGAAAGACAGGTACTGCAGAATATCATTCATATATGGAATTTAGAAAAGCTAGAAATGTATATCAGTGGTAGAATGCTTGCCTAAAATTCACAAGGTCCTGGGTTTGATGCCCTGCACCACACAAACAAACAAATATATAAATACATTAAAATTTTAAAAAGCTGATCTCATAGAAGTTGAAAATGGAATGGTGATTACTGGAGGCCAGGAAGATTAGGGGCTGGGGAAAGAATAGGAAAATGTTTATCAATTGGTACTAAACTGTAGATGGCTAGGACAAAGGAGTACTCTTGAACAGGAGAGTAACTAGATATAATAATAATGTATTGTACATTTCAAAAAGCTCAATGTAAGGATTTTGAGTTTTCTTCATAATTGATAAAAGAGATAAATGCTTAACCTGGTTTAAACACTACACAAGGCTTATATGTATTGAATCATCATGTCATCCCATTAATATATATGATTTTTGTTTTCATGCATCCCTTAAAAATCAATTTTATTTAAAAATTTAAAAACAAAACTCGATGGACATCATTACCCTAGGTAGACGTATGACTGCATGTGGTGCAACGCTACATCGTGTACAACCAGAGAAATGAAAAGTTGTGCTTCAATTGTATAAAATGAATCAAAATTCATTCTGCTCTTATATACCTAATTAAAATAAATATTTTTAAAAAAAATTTTAATTGGAGAACATATTAAAAAATTTGCATTCTATTTGTTATTTCAATCTAAATTCTTCTTCTATTCAATCATATTAAGTGCAAATAATAAAACTGCAGGAACTTTTTGAGATAATTGTGATTTACTTGGGATTATAGGAAAGATCCCAAGTAGCCTTTACCTAGTTTTCCCAAGTGGTAACATCTTGCAAAACTACAGCACAATTAGCACAATCAGGGTGTTGACATTGATACAATCACCAGTTTTACTTCTACTTATTTGTTTGTATGGGTATATCCATTTAATTTTACTGTAGGAATGTGCATTTTCAAAGTCAAAATACAGAAGAGTTCCATTGCCAAAGATCCCTCGTTTCCCACCCCACCAAATTTCTACCCAGGTTCCAGCCCCAGGCAACCATTATTCTGTTATTCATCCCTATCACATTGCCAATTTACAAATGTTAAATAAATGTGTTATATAGTATGTATTATTTTATGATTGATTTTATTCACTCTGAAAAAGTCAAATAACATCCACATCTATGAAGTCTCATTTAATCTATAATAGTTCCTTTCATCTTACTGTATTTTTCTGGCCATTTATTTCTTTGAATATAAAGGAGACATTTGACCTGTAGAATTTGCTACATTAATAAACTGGATTAAAGAGAACATTTAGTATTTACCTTAAAAATATTGACCACACCATGATCAAAATGGTTCAAGAAGAAAAAAAATGTTGACTTCATTTTTAAACATTCAAAAACATAATCACAGGTGGGGATACAGCTCAGTGGCAGAGTATCTGTCTAGCATGTACAAGGCCCTGATCCCTGGCACTACAAAACACCCCACAAAAAAAAAAAAAGAACTGATCACAACTTTTGCCCCATCTCTTCCCCTTTTGCAATATAAGGTCTTATACTTTCATCTGCTAATTTATCTAATCCTTGAGAATTTTAATCCCTTTATAATAATTAACAAAAATAAGACACACAAAACTACTAAAGAAGTTCTAAATGAGGTTAGAAGTGATTAGACCAGTTTCTAGTTTCCTCATTATACAATACCTTCATTCATAAAACCCAATTCATTAAAGCAAGTATCTGTCAGTAGGTGCCTATGTGGCACAATGCCTCCCTAGGGAAGTGAAGCTTGAGGATTGTTGGTATACCAGACACATTCCTTTCCTCCTTTCTTCACAGTGCAGCAATTCACAGGAGGTGTAAGCCACCAGACTTAATTTACAATGAAATGTATTTTCCCCCCATCAAAAGGAGAATACTTATGTGTAAGTAGATAGTATTTGTCAAAATTCTACTTGCAAGGACCCTGAGGTAGTAGTCTGAAAGTATGAGTTAACTTTGTATTCAATTTTCCAAACATAGAAAAAGGCATTTCTATAAGAATTTTTTAAGCCTGGAAAATTCAGTAAGATCTCAATCTCCGGGGTCTGGGATTATGGCTCAGTGGTAGAGCACTTGCCTAACACTCGTGAGGCACTGGATTCCCAAGCATCACATAACAAACTAAATAAAATAAAGGTATTGTGTCCATCTACAAGTAAAAAAATATTAAAAAAAAAAATCTCAATCTCAGCACAATTTTCCTTACCTTTCTTTCTTCAGTTGACAGTACTCTAAACCGAATCATTCCTTCTTTTATTATGTCTGCTTCATCTGAAAAGTCAGGATTGTCAGATAAAATATTACTTCTGTTTTCTTCCAGCCACATTTGGAACCCAGTCTTTGGCCTAAAATAGTAATTATGAAATAAATTTATGCTTGATATACAGTTTAAAGTACTTTATGGGTTTTTAAATTAGCAATTAATTCGTTTTTTGCAAGCCTATATAAAGGGAGACAATTATCTCTGTTAATATTCATATTACTTCAAATTGACTGGAGACTGCTGGATTAATTAAATGACAAAATCTACTGCAAGGCCAATTCAAAAGGATTACCCACATTTGTACTTTCTAAGTGCAGCAACAACCTTAATGTCATACTTGGAACTTTTTATGAATGCTGACAGGCTCAAGGTCTCCAAGCTCACTTAGCCCCTCTGGTATGGTAAAACCCTTCCAACTGTCCTTAGAAGGCTCTTTCTCCATTTCCAACACCAGCTATTTGAAATCTTTCTGATTTCTCTCAAGCCCCTTTCCCATTGTCTCACCCTTGTGCTCACAGCTGACCTGGGTCCTCCCCTGTATTAGCTTTATGTAAAGCATGGACAAAAAACACACTTGTAAATTTTACTAGATTCTGCTCGTGACACAGATTGTCTTTAGGTCTCAAATAAAAGCTTAATATAGCCATTTAATAATTTCTGAGCACTTATTTCTGCCAGTCATTGTTCTAAATGCTTTATGTGCACATTACCTCATTGGTATAGCAACAACCTTATGAATATTTGGGAACAATTAGTTATTTCCATTCCACAGATGAGGAAATTGAGGCTTAGAGAGATGAAATAACTCACCCCACATTAGAGATAGTAAAAGTTTCTGAAAATATAGATCCCAAGTAATCTTTTAATGTAATTCTTTTTCCAGAAAAATAATACAAACAAAAATCAATGCTAAAATAATTGCTGAACAAAGATTCTTGAATTTGCAGAAAATAGTAAAGACTTATTTTAATTAAATTTGGGGAAATGTCACAAGTCTAATAATATACAATCATCTGCCTCTAAATAGAAGTTTTAAATTTTTTAAAAAAATATTTCTCTTCTGATTTATTTTTTCAATATCTGTGACAGAATATTTGGTTAAAAATGGTAATGCCTTGGGGCTGGGGTTGTAGCTCAGTGGTAGTGATTGCCTCTAATGCATGAGGCCCTGAGTTTGATCCTCACCACCATATAAAAATAAATAAAAAAAAAGATACTGTATCCATCTACAACATAAAAAAACATATTCTTTAAAAAATGGTAATGGCCTTAATGATATTCCAAAAGATATGTTTTCTGTGTAATCAGTTACTATGAAAAGATGAATTATTGGGGCTGGGGTTGTGGCTCAGTGGTAGAGCATTTGCCTATCATGTGTGAGGCCCTGGGTTCAATTCTCAGCACCACATTAAAAAAATAAATACAATAAAGGTATTGTGTCAACTACAACTAAGAAATATTAAAAAAAAAGATGAATTATCAATTTTTTTTTTTGTGGTACAGAGGATTGAACCCAGTTATCCTTTATACTAGGTACACATTCCACCACTGAGCTACATCCTCAACCCTGTCTCAATTTCCTTAAATAATAAAACTTTCACTGTTTAAGATCTAAATCAAATTCAGAACAAAACGGGAAATAATCATGAATTAAAACCACAGGTACTATAAGACCCAATTATCCCAATACACTGAGGAGTATTTATCCAAAATAATTAAAATCAGCATACTATAGTGATATATCCACATCAATGCTTACAGCAGCAAAATTCACAACAGCCAAGTTATGGGACCAGCTCAGATGTCTGTCATTAGATGAATGGATTAAAATGGCCCTCCAGACTATTACTTCTCAATCAGACTTATATCATGGACCACTCATAGACCCAATTTTTAAAGGGGGACTCCAAACTGCTTGCCCCACATCGTCCCTTTTCAGCCTGAAGAAGCCAGAAAGATCTTCTTCGCCCCCTTTCCTTACAGCAGTAAGGAGTTCCCAAATTAGAGGGGGGAATGAAGCCAGATTTTAAGTTAGGTAGTCAGTGTAGTTAGATAAATCGGGGTCTAATACCGAGTGGAATCTAAAATGGAGGCCATGCTGAAAATGATTCCAGGGAACGCAAAACAACTCATGAAATAATCGTGATGCATTACTTTTAAGATTAAAAGTAGTCAGAAAAAGAAGTGGGGAATGTAAGGGTAAAAGAAATGGAAGTTAAAGCGTAAAAGTTAAAGGGTAAAAGACCGGGTGTTGTAAAAGTTTCTAAGCTGCAAGGTCTGAGTTAGCTGTTAAGACAATGCTTAGAACTGCCCAGTAAACATTTCCCCTGATTGTCTGGTTGTTTAATAACTGAAGGGGTCTGTGTGGTTGCACGCAGGCATTGCAGGGCCTGGACCAATCAGTTTAAATGTAACCCCCTCCTTAGGAATGACTTATCACTCCAGCCTGACCTGTTCCCGCCAATGAATGAACTAATCAGGTTTAGGAGTTGTTGTTCAATTTTCCCGCGCCTAATGATGATTTGTTCTGATGTATACAAAGCCCTCTGCCCTCCCCAAAAAGTGTACTTAAGAAGTGCTCAGCCCCTGCTCGGGGCTCTGGGCTGCTTTCCCTTCTTGAGTGGGCACGGAGCCCCAGCATGCTGGTTCAATAAACCCCCCCTTCTGCCAATTGCAAAAAAAAAAAAAAAAGAAAATGTAGTGTGTATGTATGTATGTATATATATACACACACACAATGGAATTATGCTCAGCCTTAAAGAAGAATGCAATTATGGCATTTGCTGGTAAATGAATGGAAAAGGAGAACATCAAGCTAAGTGAAATAAGCCAGACTCAAGGTCAAATGTTTCTCTCATATGTGGAAGCTAGAGCAAAACAAGGGGTAAGGGGAGGAGGTGATCAGATATCATAAAGATATAGAAAAGATCAGTGGAACAGGAGATCAAGAGGGAGGGAGGAGAAAAGAAGGGTGAGAAAGGGGAGGAAATATGTAATAAATTTAACAAAATTATCTTATGTGCAAGTATAAATATACTAAGTGAATTCCACTTTTATGTAGGTCTATAAAGCACCAATCAAAAATAAACAAGTGAAAGGAAGACCAGTAGACTAAAGGAAGGAGAATATGGGGAGGCAAAAGAAGGAGACACCAGGGATTGAAATGGAATTCCATGCATGTATGATTTTGTCCAAATGAACCCAACTATTATTTATAATGATAATGTACTAATAAAAGAAGGGAAAAAAAAAGAATTATCCCTAAAAAATACAAAATCAAGCTATTCCCTTTGTTAAACTGGTTAATATAAAGTCATTAGAAAAATTAGATATTCAATGCTGACCTTTTAAATTTAATCAATGCATTTAAAACAAATCGAGAAAGCAGAGATCAAAATATTTAGTAAGCCGTGTGTCATGGTTTATGCCTGTAGTCCCCACTATTTGGGAGGCTGAGATAAGAGGATCACTTGGGTCCAAGAGTTTGAGACCAGACTGAACAACATGGTGAGATCCCCTCTCAAAAAAAAAAAAAAAAAAATTTTAGTAACACACTGTGTTGATGAGTAAAGAAGATATGGGCAAACAGAAACTCTTACATTAATAGTGGTATATAATAAGACATCATTGTAGAACAATTTTGCATTATCTATAAAATTATTAATATTAGTGCATATTAATTTGAACTGTATTTTTTGCAGTACTATTCATACTAGCAAAAGTCTTAACAACCACTTTTCTGTCCACATGAAGAGATCTAAATGAATTAGGACTTATCTATTCAATGGATGTTAAAAATTAAAGTTGTTCTTTATGATCTGTAAAAGCTATTAAGTAAAAAAAAGTAAGGTCTGTTATCATTTGTGTAAACATTTTAAAAAACAAACAAATGTATTTGCACATGCAAAGAATAATTTTGGAAAGCTACATAAGAAATGTGTTACAATGATTGTTTTTGGAAAGAGAAATGGGTGACTAGGAAAGAGATTTATTTTCCATAATTTATCTTTTTGTATCTTTTGCTGTCTACCTTCCAGTATAACTACATTATTAAAAAACAAATAAAACATGAATTATAAAATAGTGTCCCAATAAAATGAATGTGCAATTTAGAACTTAGAAGTTTATTAAGGCAAATTCTAATAAGTAATGTAAACAGCCATTAGTCAATGTTTACTTATGTCACAAGTATTTAAATACCCACTATCAGTGATTATAAGAATAACAGAGTTGTAAAAATTTGTATAAAAAAAATACACTGTATGCTTTTTTCTGGGATACTTAGAATACAAGTCTCCCTATTACTGACCTTTGATTTTCAGTGTTTTGGGGACAGATAGCTGGGGTTTCAGATGATTCATTTTTAGGATTTTCTTCTTTCACTTCCTCAGTCTTACTGGCTTGAGAAGTTCTTTTCTGGAAATAGGATGCTGCAGATGCCTATAAAAAACCAACCATCTTAAGTATCACATGTAGCATTTTATGTTACAAGAAAGTTCTGAGGGGCTGGGGATGTGGCTCAAGCGGTAGCGCGCTCGCCTGGCATGCGTGTGACCCGGGTTCGATCCTCAGCACCACATACAAACAAAGATGTTGTGTACGCCAAAAACTGAAAAATAAATATTGAAATTCTCTCTCTCTCTCTAAAAAAAAAAAAAAAATAAAAGAAAGTTCTGAAATACGTGAAGAAACATTTATAATTATTTATTATTTAGAAGTATTATACCAACAAATAAATCTTGAGTTCTCAGTTGAAATTAACATTTACACACATAAAATCAAGAAAAAAAAAGTACTTTATTTCATGTTCTGTTTTTCAAATTACATGAAATGGAAAAGAAAAATAATGAATGTATTTAACTGATAAGAATTTTGGGGTGAAACACATGAGAGTGGATAGAATCAGAATACAGAAGAAAGATTAGGTCCGTATACTAGAATAGTCATTAATAAACAGGGATATGCATCAGAACCACCTGGGAGGTATTTTTAAAGTATAGGTAGATAGCTAAATCCCTGGGGATAGGGGTGTGTGTGTGTGTGTGTGAGAGAGAGAGAGAGAGAGAAAGAGAGAGAGAGAAACAAACACACACACACACACACACGATTCTGGAAAAAAACCATAATTAAATCCATTTCCATACTAGAATGATGAAATACTGGTTCCTCCAATCCTATACCTGAAACAGCAAACAACGGTGAAGACAAACAGTTCACATGCTCTTCATTGAAGATGTGGGGAGATGAAACACTACCTGCTTAGACTTTGGCTTTGGAATCAGAGGTTTTATAACTGGAGACCTTTCATTATTTGCTGCCCGATTAAGTGCAGAAGATTTCTTGGATGATTTGTTCATACTGTCCAAAATATTAGTTGAACGTGTTGAATTCAATGACACAGCTGGCTCTTTGGAACTGGCTAATACCTAAGAGCAAACTAATGTTAGCACTTTATGTTTAAAGAAGAAAACAAAAATTCTAAGAGGTTTATTTTTCCTTTAAATTTCTGTTAAGTTTACATTGTGGTCTCATCTTTGGAAATGAATACATATAATATGATTCAAATTAAGACTGATGCATATATTCTCAAATAACATCTCAAAGAAAAACATGGAGTATCTTTTAAAACCATTGGTATATAATTAGAACATATAATTGTTTCAGATGTGAACCAGGGCTGCTTTCTTCTTTGTTTTCATAAAGGTAAGGCTTCCGTGCTTCTAAGGAGGGTCATCTGATCATTTGGAAATATTTCTTTCATGTATTTAACAGAAAATAATGCTGGAAAAAAATTTACCTTGAAGGGGTTTACTCGTCCTTGGTTGCTAGAGATAACTGCACCTTTCACAAGAAAGAAACCCTCACTTAATCATGGCAAAAACTAGATGACTTATGACTTTTAATACTAGAAGAAATATTTAAATCTGTATTATATGAAAGCAAAGGCACTTTGTAACTTTAAAACTTAGTAACAAATATGGATGACTTTTGTCCTACTTCCCCAGGCAAAATAATCTCAGATGGGAACTAACCTAACTTGCCACTGTGAAATATACCTGATATGTACAGACCTATCCTTTTCTCCCATTACTATTACTTTATTTTAACTAAGGTTAGTAATCCCTTTACTCTGGATTCCACCCCCTCCTGCTTTGTCAAGAAACTTGACCTATCAACCCATTTTTCATCTTTGGCTTTTTCCTGTTATAGTATCCTCAAGTCTCTCAACAAACAAATAAAGATACCCCACATTCCTTCCAGCCACCACTTTCTCTTACCACCCTATCCAACCAAATTTTTCAAAAGTTGTCAGCACTGCTATTCCCATTTCCTCCCTGCTCATACAACCTACCATATAATAATGTAGCTTTCAGCCCTATAACCATACAGAATCTCTTCTTGCTAAGGCTCCCAATAATCTCTGTATGATCAAATATGGTAGATACTTTTCAATCATCTTATTTGACCTCTCAGTGGTATTCCATAATTGTGAATATTCCTTTCTTCTTCATACTTCCCTTGACTTCTGAGATATGGCAACCCCTGAGTTACCTCCTTTCTCCTTGGAACAATGTGCTCATTCTCTTTCAACAGTTCCCCCTACTCCTCTATTTGATGCTTACATGCTGGGGTTTTCCTAGGCCTAAGTTCATTTTTCTTCTTGCTTCATATACTCTCCCAAAGTGTGCTCACCCATGTCCTGGTTTAAACTGCTTTGCTACTCCCAGTGATTTTAATGTACTTTCCTAAATTTCTGATCCAAATATCCAACTGTCTTTGTAACATTTTATGTATCTCATAATTCATGATCATACTATCTAAATCTGATTTTTCCTCATGTTTCCTGACTCAGTAAGTGGTATTCACTCAACTATTCAAGAAACAAGTCACCAGCTACAGGGGCTCAGGCTGTGATCCCAGCAATCTGGGAGGCTGAGGTAGGAAGATTGTGAGTTTGAGGTTAGTCTCAGTAACTTAGTGAGACCCTGTCTTAAAGGACTAGAGATGTTGCTCAGTGGTAAAGTAGTCCTGGGTTCAATCCCCAGTACCAGAAAAAACAAAATAAAAACAAAAATACCTAAGAGTCTTTCTTATACTCTGAACTCCTGTACTCTCTACATCAGAAACACCTCTATACTCTACCCATTCTTTCAACCAACAGCATCACCACCCTAGTCCAAGCCACTATTCAATCTCACTTGGACTGCTTCAGCAGTTTTCTTATAAACCCATTCCTCCTCCTCAGCAGTGTGCCAGGCTATGCCCCTGCTTAAAACCTCTAACAGCCTCCCAGTGACCTTACAATGAATATCAAAATCCTTAATATGGCCTACTATGCCTGCAGAATTTCTCTTCTGCCCAAACCCCTTCAGCACCACTTTCTCCTTGCTCCCTGCGCTCTTTGTAACTTCCTCTACTCCTGCTCCTGTTCACCTTTGCCTGGCTGACATTCATCCCTCCAGTTTCTGCTTTAAACACTCCTTGAGGCCTTCTTTGGGATCTCTACCACGGACTGGATTATGGTCAACTGCTATATGTTCTTTTAATAATATATACATGTTTTTAAAGTTAATATTTTTACATAAGTTAATATATGTACACAATTTTAAAAGCATGAAATGTAAATAGTTTTAAAAGTCATATGGCAGTAGAAGTTTTTTTTTTTTGGGGGGGGTGGGGGTACTGGGGATTGAACTCAGGGGCGCCTGACCACTGAGACATATGACATATCCCCAATCCTATTTTATATTTTATTTAGAGACTGGGTCTCACTGAGTTGCTAGGGCCTTGCTTTTGCAGAGGCTGGCCTTGAATTCGCAATCCTCCTGCCTTTGCCTCCCCAGCCACTGGGAGTATAGACATCAGTATAAGTTTTAGATTTAAAAAAACCCCAGCAGTCCCCTATTCCAACCTTCCCTATCTCCCAGTCCCACTTCTCAAAGTCAACTACTTTCAACTGTTTCTCCAGCATCCTCAATGTCTCCTTAGTGATTTGCACATCTGTCTTCAACATGTTGTGCCAGCTGATCTGGAAAAGCATTAAGGCAGGGATCAACCATGCATGTCTGCTTGAGTCCTGTACCATTTAGCAAAATATCTAGCACACAACAGACATTTTAATAAATGTGTTCAACGATCAGTTTCACAAACATCTCTGATAAAAACAAAAACAAAGCAAGTTCTGAAAGGGAAGGTGTTTTTGATTTAAAAAAAAAAAAACCCTTTAAAAAACTATCTGTAAAATTTCCTTGACATTACAAATTTACAAATATTTCTCACCTGACTTAATAGCTGACACATCAGAGGAATTTGAACTTTTGGCAAATGAGTTCTGCACTATAATTAAGATAAAAAAATACAATATAAATGAGGAAAATAATCATACTTGATAGTCAACAATCACACAGCAAAGATGCCTTGAAAAAGTATGGGAATTCAATTTTTAGCCTAGAAAATATATCTCACCATGCTTATGTAGTTCTGGTTTTTCTTTTGTATCATCAGCTTCTTCCTTATCCTCAGCATCTTGTTCAATTTGATTTCTAGGCCTTGGCTGGCTCCACTCTGTAGCAGTATTACTGTAACTAAAGGCAACAATATTATTCAATAACAAGCTAGTCAGAGACCAACTTAATATTCAGAATGGTAAAGGAAAATTCAAATGATTAAGTAGATTTTACCCAGCATTCAGCTTTTCCCTGAAATCTTCTTCTTCCTCCTCTTCTGCCTGGGTTGCTGCCAATTCAGCTGCCTTCTCTACAGCAAGTTCGCTAAGTTTTTGGGCCAATAGTAATTTCCGAGAGCGAGAAGCATATTTAATGGCTAAATTCACAGCATTTTGAGTCATTAGATCAGCAAGTTCCACACAACGAAATTCTCGCTCCAGTTTACAAGAAAGCTAACCCAAAAGGGGGAAAATCATATTAGATTAAGCAGAACTTTTAAAACACACTGATACTACTAGCAAAACAGAGAAAAGAGTTTTCTAGATACCTTATCTCACTGATGTAAGATGCATACTTTTACATATTTTAACACCTCTAAAATTGGAAAGCATTTTACAATAAATGGCTGCATTTCCCCTTTCTTTCTCAGCGGCTAAATGAAGAAAATAGTGTGAAAAAAATTTACAATTAAAAGCTTAGGTTTGATGAAATATAATTTTAAGTTGTGAATTGCAAGGAAAGTAAAAAAATTGATTAAAATTTAAATGTGGCTCTCTTAAATTTATTTTCCATCAGCCACCCACCCAAATAGGGTAATAAATTCAAAGAAAAAATAACTGTAAAAAGAATCCATCATCATTTGCTCAGAACTAGCAAATAAATAATAGTAAGCATATTTGGTGGGGAGAAGTTCTATGATCTTCAACGATCAGAAACAATTATATAGCTTCTAAATTAACATTATTTCATTTTGTTCTATTTTTCATGCTCACAATATTAAACAAAGAATATTCATGTAAAATGTCTTTAGAAAACATTGACTCTTCTCCATTTTTTGAATTTTCAAAATTTAAAGTGGGACAACTCTAGTTCAAAGTGAAGCACACTCTTGATACTTTGAAGACCCCCAAGGGTCTTGTAATTAGAAGAAATTTATTACTTAGATATCCCACATCTGACCTATTAGCATAGAAGCTTTAGAATGTCCTCAAGATTTCTGATATCATTTGTCTGCAAAAAGTAATTCCTTTTTCTTCTCCCTTTTGTTTCTTTTGTACTGGGGATTGAACCCAGGAACGCTTTACCACTGAACTAGTTCCCAGCCCTTTTTATTTTGAGACAGGGAAACTATTTAAGTTTCTTAGGACCTCACTAAATTGCTGAGGCTGGTTTTGAATTTGTAATCCTCCTGCCTCAGCCTCCCAAGTTACAAACATGCGTCACTGCATCCAGATGTATGCAGTAATTCTTAAACAGAGTGGAATTCTGCCTCACAGTATTTGGAAAAGAAAGGAAGACATGGTTACTGCCCTCAAAGGCTGACAGTCTAGCCAAGTCCAGAAGAGGAAAAATATTATATTCTTTCCCATAAACCAACATGGAGGACATAATCATATGAACTTTAAGATACTTACACCAAAAACAAATATACTTAAAGTATACAATGCACAAACCTGGCCACTGGCTATAGCAAACTTTTACTACATGTAGGTAACTCAAAGATAGTAATGGGCATAGCCAAAATACCACCCAACCCTGCAGATCTAAAACCAGCTCAAACCCAAACTGAAATATGGTTTGTACAGGAGCCAGAGCACAGGTTCTCAAACTTTATTAAGCTTCACAGTTACCTGGAGAGCCTGCTATAAAACACAGGTTGGTACGTAAAAGCAAAAGGGATGTAGCATGAGCTACATCCAAAGTCTAGGTCAGCCTGTGATCTCAGCCACAAAGTAATGTTTTTAAATATTTTAACTGAAACATCAAGTGGAAAACAGAATTTGTAAGGGAGAAAAACACCACCAGATAAAATTTGAGAATTCCTCTTAAGAAATTCAACATATAGAAAAGCATTAACTTTCATTTTTTCAATGTATTTATTGAACTCACCGCAAGCATTTTCATTAAAAGTTCCTGTTGCTCTTTTATTGCTTGATTTTTAGTGCTTTCTTCATATTCATAACCATTTTTAGCTAAGTACTCAAGGTGGTTGTGAAATAAAACTGAACGCCAAAATTGTTCCTACAAAAATGGATAAAATTACTTAAAGCCAAACATTACTTTAACATCAGGCAAATGTTAAATACTTATCTCAAGATACCAGTTTTTGAATAAAATATTTTCTGAAATTCTTTCTTTATTTTATAATTCAAATTCCAATGTAATATTACAGCTTGACTTTATCTTTGGTTCTTAAAAATGGAGGATATATGTATATATATGGTACAGTACAGTGTTCCCAGTGCCTCACACGTGCCAGGCAAGTGTTCTCCCAATGAGCCACACCCCAGCCCTAATTGCAAGATTTTAAATGGCATTTAATGGCACAGCGCTAGGACCAAGGTGGGGCAAACCAGGTGTTTATTGCACAAAATGTATGGAGGACTTGCCTAATCCTGAGAGGGAGGGCCTTACAATAGTGATCCTGATGGTTATAACCATTTATCTTGTAGATAAAGTCCCTAAAAGCAAATTGAAGAGTACTAAATACTGAACACTAGACATCATAATAATTTTAAATTGTCTGTGTCACATAGATAGTGCACTGTCAAATTCAGAGTGACAAGGTAAGGCTTCCACATACCTCCATTTGTCCTTTCTCGGTTGCCATCTGACAGTATGGAATCTTAAAGGATAATATAGCTATAGCAGGGCGTGGAAGGGTGGGAGGAAACCGAGAACCTTTACAAGGGATGCACCTGTCAGTAAAGAAAAATTTCTATCATAAAAAACTTCTAAAATGTCGCAAAAGCTGCTAGAGATACATAATTTTCAAAAGTCAGCAACTCACTTTAGCTTTATTAAATAACAATGACTCAAAATGAAATCAGCCCTCTTTATAGTTTCCTTAGCAAACCACCCATTTTTAAAAATCTATGAACTGTGCCATAAATACATGTCATAGGGCTCATGTAATCAGCACTTTATCTTGGATATTCACCTGATCTCATTCATCTGTTACCCATGGCAGAAAAGGTCAAATAAGAGAAGATGATGATGAAATGTCCAAATACAGGTGTTTATTAGATATTGGTGAGAGTGGCACAGGAAATGCAATATCATAAAGTTTTAATCTAGACCCAACTCTGCTAAATCAAAGGTTGCCTTTAGATGGTAACACACTTTGCCTAGTTTTTTTCTGACAAGGCTACGTATAAGACATTTGAAGACACTCATTAGAGTAAGACTACTAAGGTTATGTAATTAAAAAGAATTGAATACACAGAATAATGTGTATATATGTATGACAATCTAACTTATGCACTCAAAATGATTTCATAAAGAATACCATGATTGTATACTCTACCACACACACATTTTCTATTTTCATAAAGTCATTTTAAAAAATAGTACTTTGGTCAATGCTTACAAATAGTCATCCACTTAAATTATAGTAGAGTTTTTTTTGGTCAGAGCTTTAAGTCAAGGAATTCCTGAAGGCATTTAAATGCAAAATAGAAATTAGGCCCCTGGGTTTAAGATTGCTTTCATAAACATCTCCTACTATTATTAAATGCCCAGTAAAGTAATTAAAAAATTAAGCAGCAGCTGAGTGTGGCGAGGCACACCTACAAACCCAATAATTAGAGGTTGAGGCAGGAGGATCACAAGTTCAAGGCCAGTCTCAGCAGCTTAGTGAGACCCTGTATCAAAAAATATATTAAACTGGGCACAGTGGCGCACACCTATAATCCCAGTGGCTAGGGAGGCTGAGACAGGAGGACTGCAAGTTCAAAGCCAGCCTCAGGAACAGCAAGGCACTAAGCAACTCAGTTAGACCCTGTCTCTAAATAAAATACAAAATAGGGCTGGGGATGTGGCTCAGTGGTTGAATGCCCCTGAGTTCAATCCCCAGTACCTCCCCAAATAAATGAATGAATGAATGAATATTAAAAAGGCCAGAGATACAACTCAGTAGAAGAATGCCACTGAGTTCAATCTCTGGTATCTCACCTAAAAAAAGAAAAGAAAAGAAAAGGAAAAATAAAGCAAGCTCCAGGTGGGCATGGTGGCACGTGCCCATAATTCCAGCAGCTTGGGAGGCTGAGGCCTTAAGTAACTCAGTGAAACCTTATCTCAAAAAGAAATGATGAAATGTCCAAATACAGGTGTTTATTAGATATTGGTGAGAGTGGCACAGGAAATGCAATATCATAAAGTTTTAATCTAGACCCAACTCTGCTAAATCAAAGGTATAAAGTATAAAGAAGGGTTAGGGATGTGACTCTGTGGTTAAGCACCCCTGGGTTCAATATCCGATACCAGAAAACAAAAAAACAAAAACAAAAACAAAAAAGTAAGCTCCAGTACCCAGAATTTTTTTTTTTTAAAATATTCACTTTTTTAAAGTTTTCGGCGGACACAACATCTTTGTATGTGGTGCTGAGGATCGAACCCGGGCTGCACGCATGCCAGGCGAGCGCGCTACCGCTTGAGCCACATCCCCAACCCTCCAGGAATGTTTTTGAAACTACACTGGAACTTCTTCTCATGAGACTTGAATACCTTTCCTTTTTTTATGTGACTATACAATAAAAATACAAATGTTTTCAAGGTTCCAATTTTTTTTGACATATAATCTTATTTTCTTTCTACTTTCCTCCCTCTTATGATTTTATAGAAACCAGTGATTTTCAGAACAGAGTATAAGGTGGCAGCACAAACACCTTGATTTTGAAAAATTTCTGTAGCAACTGGCATGCAACTATCCACAACAACACAACCACCACGGACTTAATGCTTGGGCCAAATATAGAAGAACATGTGCATTCACAAATGTAAGTATAATTACATATATACATATACATTAACAAAATTAAAAAGGTTGCTAATTTTTGTCTACACACTCTTTTTTTCTATAACATGATATATTTTGTTTTAAAACATTTTATAGCTCAAATACTCCATTAATTTATACACAGCAAACAATGATTACAAAAGATGCTGAGATTTTATTAACACTTTAACCCACATTTACATTAAAGCAGAGTACCAATTCATATTTCTTATAATTTTCTTAGCTTTAAAGACTTGAACTAAAGACTTTTTCTTCATTAAAAATCCCTCTGATGGAGAAAACAGAGGGGAAAATAAAACATATTTTGATTGTTAATTTGATGGGTTTTGCCTACTATGAATGAATTTCTTAGAAACCATGAGCCTAAACCATTTGGAAGAGGAAATGTGAAAAAATAAACCACTGTTACTAAGGAGACAAAATTACTTCAATTTCTTTGCAAAATAATCACCAAATCTGTTTTCTTATTATATTAAAGGGAGAGTTAAAAAACAAAAACAAAACAAAACAACAACAACAACAAAAAAAAAACACAGCAGATTACAGAAAATTGGGGCTAATGTCCAAACCAATCTTCCCTAGTTAGAAAGTTTTGCTTTCTATTCTGTGTTACAAAGGACTTTCTTCACAACTTTTTTTTTTTTTTTCCTGACAGTACTGGGGATTGAACCCAGGGAAGCTCCACCAGTGAGCTATAACCCCAGCTCTTTAATTTTCATTGAGACATAGAGTCTCATGAAGTTGCTGAGGCTTGTGATCCTCCTGCCTCAGCCTCCCCAGTAGCTGGGATTTACAGGCGTCCACCACCACCCCTGGATGTTCACACCTCTTTTAAAGCACTTCGTTCAGGATTAGCATAATGATTTTACAAACCTACCTCTTCAGGGTTGCAAAATTAATTTTTGTGTAGTATAATACATATAGTCAGTACTATACTATAACAAAAGCTTGTTAAATGAACACAACTAAAAAAATCTGATATTCATGTTCAGAGTTTCTAAAAAGAAGAAAGGAAGGTGGCTGTTTATACAGACCACCTTTATAAGACTGTAGCACAGCAAAATCAGTTACCTCTGTTATATATTAACCAGTTTCTATCATGACACAAGAAATGCAGTTTTCCTAAACTGAAATTCAAGTAAAAGTGGGTAGAGGTGACAGATCTATAGATCAATAATTTCTGATTTCATAATTAGAGAGAAATTTTTTGCACCGGCAAATGAATTTTTAAAAAATTACTTTTAACTAATTATACTCCCTTTTAAAAGATCCTGAACAAAAAGAAAAATTATGAATTGGGTTAGAAAATGCATGTAAAATGAAAAAACTAAAGAAACAAGTATCATTAACATGAACTACAAAGCTAACTGCCTTTTAGGAAGAAAACCACTGTTAAATTAATAGCTATCATTCAATGAACATTCACTAAGGGTGAGTGTTCTACAACTTCATCTTCATAGCAATTCTTTGAGAGGAACACATTTTGATATTAGAAATGAGGAAAAGAGGCTCAAAGAATGTAACCAGCATGGCCACGTCAAATAAAGAACAGAACAGCAGAGCAGTCACACCATATTGCGACTTGGAGTCTGAACTTGGGACTACTAGGACATCTTGCTTTCCAGAGAAACACCAACACTAACAAACAGAAGCATCAGAAATTTAAATAAACAGAATAAATTTCTTGATAACAAGAACAGGTAAACACAGGACTAGACTACTGATGGTGGGTGTAGAAACCCTAGACTTTCATGTATCTCTTTCCACAGGAAGGAAATCAATCATCTCTGAGTGTCTCTAAATATAAGACAGCTGGAATGAAAAGTGCAATAGACCATACTGAGTAGTATAATTTCCAACCTTTGAAAAATATGCAAGCCTATTTTTCCAGAATAAACCTGGAAAAAATGAAAACACCCTGAAATAAATCAATTTATTACAGTAGATAAAATTAAATACATTTTCATAAGCAGACTTTTTAGGACATCTTCTCGGTGTTTCAAATGTCTGCTTTATAACACTCTCCTAAGAAATTCAACTATAATAGACGGATTCTTAAGGAAGAAGTAATGTACATATCAACTCAACTGCCATTATACCTTTATTTTGATACAAAACAATGTTTATTATTTTTTTTTGCCATTAACTGTGTGATCTCAAATAAGTTACTTCATCTTTTTTGAACCCCAGTTTTGTCATATATAAAAACTGGGGTAAATGCAAAGATAAAGGCAGGGGGTGCAGGACCTGGACCAAAAGAAAACAGTAGTTGGGGCTAGGGTTCTGGCTCAGTGGTAGAGCGCTTGCCTACCATGTGTGACGTGCTGAGTTTGAGTCTCAGCACCACATACAAATAAATAAAGGTCCATTGACAACTAAAAAAAAAAAATCCATGAAGGGCAATTGAGTTATTCATACAGGAATCATGAATTATTCATAGACTCAACACAAAACATTTTCCACGTTATGTACTGGAATTTTCATATGCATATAAATGATGTGATTTATAAATACAAATTTATATTAACATACAACTTTGAGCTGGATATGGTGATACACGCCTGTAATACCAGCAACCTGGGAAGCTGTGGCAGGAGGATCAAAAGTTCCCGGCCAGTCTTGGCAATTTAGTGAAAGTCTGCCTAAAAAAATAAAAACAAAGGGCTGGGGTGTAGCTTGGTGGTTGAGCACCCCTGGGTTCAATCCCCAGTACCAAATATTAATTAATTAATATAGCACTTCTATAGGTCTATAAAAGCTGCTATTATTATGAATTATCTACCAGCTGATTGTAGAACTACTCTACCATTTGGAGGTCAAGAATGTCCAATATTTAAAACATGGCTCCTATATTTGAAAATGTCAGGAACCATTGGCACAGACAATTTCTAAAATCTTCCC